CACTTGCCAGCGCAATTTTATTAGATTTTGGTTTTCTTTCCCAACAACAGGTAGCAAGCATATAGCGCCAGCAGCTGACTACAAACACACAATGAACTTGAGTGGCTTCAAGCAAAAGCAACAAAATGATTTAATATCATTTTAGGTCCTTAAACAATTTCACTTTCTTTTGATTCCAAAGACATTGGTCGAAGCCAATGCGTGCGTAGCCATGTCATGGACACTGAAACAAACACGAGTGATGACGACAGTGGCGTTGGTTGGGATAGCTTAGTTGATGCTGGGGATGGCATGGAAGTTGGGTGGGCGTCAGTTGCAGAGGCAGAGGACTCCCAAGAAGCCAGAGAGCCTGTTCCAATCCAACAAGTTGCGCAAGGTGAGGTGAAAGAGAAACGTGGTCGTGGCAGACCGCGTGGTATTTATGGCAGCCATGCATTTCGCAGGGAACTGAAGCAGTCAAGAGAGTCGATGGTGGCTCCACGGCCTTCGCTTTCCCGCGAGGAGATTCTAGCTAAAGCCAGGGAGGCCAAAGCAGCGCGCAGAAATCTGCACGATGCTGCTACGCGAGCTTCATCCTCAGCCACTGCCCAAAGCAGACCAAGCGGCCATGTCATGTCTGATGCTGTCCCAGGTCTTGGAACATGGTTGGCGCAGCAATGTGTTCAGGCCGCAGCTGCTGGCATGTCAATGGTGCGTGGAGATGCCGCTCAGGCAGATCACATTCCTGATATTGGATTCATGCGTAGTTTTGCAAGCCGCTTGCTCTTTGGCAAAGACAGCGCTCCTCAGGCTGCTCCGGAAATCAACAAGCCACAGGCAGAGGACAATTCGAGTGAGGTAGAGCAAATTCAGAGAACAATGGCTCATGTTTTTCAACCATATCGAGGCTATTGCTCCATCGCCAGAGATAGCGAATTTTTGAAAGTTGATGAGCGCTCGTTCAGTAGGTCATTGGGCTACTCTGCAGCCGCATTTCAGAATCTGTCGTGCAAATTGTGGGGCAACATGTTCGCCAAGATAAGAGAGAAGTTGGGAAAGTCCCACGATGGGGTTCTGTTTGTAGCAAAGTTGAGGTTTGATGAGACTCCCAGTCGCATTGCAGTGCAGGATTTGAACAGCTCTTCTGCCACAATTTCCAACCTGTCTTCTTCGGTGGTTTTGTCGTCCCAGCAATCCGGGCGGAAGCCAGCTAAGCCCGCCCGGAAGCAGCTTGCAAAGATTTTGCAGACTGAGTTCAACGTCGCGGCATTGCTGAAGTCAAAAGAGTCTGGCAAACATCTTCTCATTTCAGGTTCTGTACCTGCACCACTACAGGTCTTGGATCGACAGACGGGAGCAAATTTGGCAAGTGCGCTGGAAGACACTTTGCGGATCCCCACTTTGGACACCTTCGCGGACAGTTTTTGCCACAAGCTTTTCCTTTACACAACAGACGAGTTCGCTTCGAATGATGTCGCTGAGTGGGCGCTCCAGCAGAAGAGGAGGGGGTGGATGAGGATGAACTTTTTGTGTGATGTGCATAAGGGATCCACTTGCCAGGGCCGAGTATTCGACCTCACAGGCCCAGCGATTTCAGCAGTCATCAACTTTGCCCTCTCGATGTGTCCAGCTGGAAGCCTAGGAAAGATGCAGTCGCTTCTCTCAGACATTCTGACATCGAAGTTTCAATTGAAAATTGGCGAACCTCCATACAACGCTGACGCCTTGGCCTACAAGTCAGAGGTCTTGGATCTGTTTTGCTCAGTTCCTGATACCTTTTCCATGGAGGTCACGCAATCAACATCTTCCAGACAAAGGTTGCAGTATGGGCAGAAGCTTCGACAACGCTCAATTTTGGAGTTCTGGTTGAATGATGATTTGCGAGACCACTCCAAGATCATCCACTGGGCAAAGTCAGGTCAGTATAGGAACGAAGACGAGGCTTTGGAATTGTTCCTGCACTTTGTCGTGCCTGCCTTGCTGCCCTGTGCGTGCCCTATCTTTCCAAGATCCAGGTGGTTTGGAGCAGATGCAAGCCTGGACTTTGTGGGGTTGCTGTCATGTTGCCACAATCTCTTTGAGCCCTTGATCGCAGCTTGGAGTGGCCGCCAGTTGCCCTCATCCGATGCCATCCTGCCAGCAAGCGAGGCAAGCGATGATGATGACCTTGGTTGGGACGCCTTTGCACCTGTCCAGGCGCTTGCTGCTGGGCAAAAGCCAAGGCCAAAGCGTGAAAGCAAAAACGATCAACAAGTAGAGGAAAGTTCAGCGCCAGATCTACAGTCCCAGCCACAGCCAATGGAGTTGCTTCCACAAGATGGTCCAAGTGACGAAGTTGGAGCTGCTTTCGATTGGCATGCCTACCAGGAGAGATTGAAAACATCAGTGGGGGAGTGGGTGTGTGGTTGGCGGGCAAGTTCTTCACCAAGCCCCCAGGCATTGCTGGCTTTGATGAGGCAATTCCTCACTCCGATTTTGTTGCTGATGACACATTTGCTCTACCTTGGCAGCCAAAAGTTTTCAAAGGTTCAGTACCAAAAGTCGTGTGATGGATTGCAGCAAGAATTCCGGGTACTCATTGCTTGGGTGCGACGACAGACCACTCGCTTGATTGTCGATGTGTTGGCCTTGATGAAATCACCTCCGAAAGCATTGGGGATTGCAGATCTGCGAGCAGATATTGGAGTCCTGTGCTTTTGCATGCTTTCGAGACTTGCTTGCAGCACTTACCAACTTCTGCATTGGCGACATGGAAAGTATCCATATAGACTGTTTTCAGCTCTGCAAAGCAAAGACCAGGCTTGCAACGTTTTCAATGACCCGCGCTGTGTCCAAGACGAGGTCGCTCAAGCACTTTGCAAAACCTACAGCACTGTAGAGGCCTTTTGCTCACCCGAATGCGTGGCAGTTTTGGAGACCATAGCTGTCCTTGCAGACACAGACATTGGGGCCATTGAACGGCAACATACGCTCAGCAGAAAGGTGATTCAATCCCGTTCTTTGGCAAAAGCTGCCACTTTGAAGACTTTGAATGCGGATTGGTTGCTGAGACGTGCTTGCCAGAACAAAGCCAGCCTCTTGACCTACAACTACTTTGATTCACGAGAATCTCGAAGGAAGTTGTCGACCTTCCACAAGACACGCCTGAAGACTGTCAAAAAAAAAGAAAAGAGGTGGAGGGGGAGCCTGGCGGGCCTATGTGTCGGCTATGTCAAGGGGTATGAAGTTGAGCCGACAGTTTGTGAAGCGACTCGCGGCTGCCTACAATGCTTTGAGCGACGAGGATCGTGCTGTATACAAGAGCGCTGGCCACTTTGCTACTACAAGCCACAGGCTTGGCTTCAAGGCTTTTGGAACCAGAAAACGGAAGAGGGAGGAAACACCTGTTCGAGCTGTTCAAGACACACCAATCTCCTCTACCGCTACCGGTGCTGGCTGTCAAGACTCTGCTGCTTTGGTGCTGGAAGTTGACAATGGTGGCAATACATCGAAAGAAGGGCCTTCGCAGCCCATTGTTGGGGATGACCGCGAAAGGCATGCTGTTGTTGCTGTGCAAGATTCTTTTGACTCAGAGCTGCAGCCGTTTCACCCTGCCCAGCGCTTGATCGACCAATTGCAGAAGGTGAGTACTTTAGTGAAGCGAACTTTTGCAGAAGTGAACAAAAGACGTGAAGAAGTTGTTGGACAGGTGTCATCGTTTTTGAAGGGCGCTACATGTTTGGGCCAGCCCCCGAACCCTGCCCATGAATTCCAGCCGTTGACTGCCGACAAGGAGCCGCCTGATGCAGTGTCTCTACTGAACAGAAACTGCTTTGTTGCAAAGCCTAATCACATTCCTTGGGTGGAATGGCTCCCTCCAGCTGATATTTTGACAAGCGCGCCTTGGGCTGTGGGTGTGTCTATGTTAAGACTTTAAGACTTTAAGAACAGGGTTTCAAGTTCTCGACCCTCGCGAGACATCTCTACACTTTTTGCCTTTGTTGCAATCTTTGTTGAAAGCTGGCTGCTATTGAATCATTTTGCTATGAAACTACCACTACTAGTCCACCCATGCTCTGTCAAACTGTCCAGACTTCTCACGAAACCGGTTTACTTTATACATTTTTGTACGATATACTATATACTATATACTGTATGTCATTGGTTTTTTTAAAGGGGGCATTGTCATTGGTGGCAACGTGTTTTGCATTTTTTAAACGGGTTTATAGCATGTTTTTACAATGATGCGCCTTTCTTTTTCTTTTGTATCGTTTCCATGCGCCGGTCAGTTCTTCATGTCCTGAGGCTGCTCTATCAAGCTCATCTGGAGAATCTCTGGGCCTGCGCCAGGCTTTGGAAGAGTACTGGGAGAAATGCAACCAGGTGTATTTCCACAGTAATGCAAAGGCGATACCACCTCGATCCAGCCCAGAAGCAAAGCATGTTTTTGTTGCTTCCAAATGCTTGAAAGCTGGGATGTGCATTTGTCGGGATCCTTGTGGGAAGCGTGCAGACCTCTTCAACAACAAGTTGAAATCTTTCTTCAGGTCGGTTTTCAAGAAGGGGACTTTGCCAAAGAAGAAACTTGATGCGAACCTTGTTGTTCTTGTGCTTCAAGAGCACCCAACTTCGGAATCCCAGCCGTTGTATTTCCATCTTGGGTACTGCAATTGTCAGACTTGGGTCTTTACTTTGTTGCAGTTGGCAGCAGATGTCCGAAAACCGCGCCGTTCCTCGCTTCAACCGCTTCGCTTGGCAGATGAAAGGGAAGGTGTTCATTCTCCACTCGATGGCGTAGCTGTAGCGCTGCAGGTGTTTGCCAAACTTGATTTGATGAAGGTTTGGACTTGCCATATTTGCTTTTTGGTTCAGTCCAGCCATTTGCTCCATCACATCTCAAACTTGATGCCTCAAGAAGTCGAGATTGAAAAGCCGAGTCTCGGTGGTTCAGAAGGTCCTCTAGCTTGCCCAACTTTTTTGTGGAGGGGGTGGGAGCAGGAGCAGCCACAGAGAAAACCACGGGCGCCGCCGACAAAACAACCCATTGGGCCCAATGCTTCGAAGCCGAAACCACAGCCATCAAAGCCTGCTAGCAGGCAGCAGAGCAAGCAGCAATCATCCCCTGATGTGGTTGAACCTCCTGACGGGGGGTCTGAAGGAGGTACTGGTTTCGAACTTGAAGGCAAAGAGGTTGACGATCTTATCAAAGACATTTTGAAGCGCAACCCAGCCCCAGACGGTGCTGACAACATGGATAATGATGAGTATGAACCAAGTTTGCCTTCTGAGGAATCCAACAATGACTTTGACATCGAAGATTCCGACGGTGAGAATGAAGATTATTCTGAATGGATCACTGCTGCAGGGGCCTGGTTGGACCAGGCAGAAGCAGATGCGCTTTTCAGAGGGGGTGACACAGGTGACCAGCTGCTTGAAGAAGTTGGATTTGACCAGGTTGCTCCAAGCGCGCCCAGAGTGGACGGCCAGGGCTGCCAGGACCAAACCGACCAGGTCGACGTGATCACGCAATCGTCAGATCAGCCTGTGTCACAAGGTGGAGATTCCATTGTTCCAGGTGTTTGCACTGAGTCCTCTCATCCACCTGAAGCAATGCGTGTTGATGACATGCCATTGACCAGCCTTCTTGGCGGAAACGACAGCAGTGGAAAAGGAGCAGATGGCAATGACAGCGAAACCGATTCGAGCGCTCCCAGCAGCAGTCTCAACCTGTCTCAGCTGTCAGACATCAGCATCAAGCGAAATAGTGAGGGAAAGATAGTGGTGGGGGATTCACCTCACAGTTCTCGAGCAAGTTCCGACGCAGATGATATTCCACCTCCCCCTAAGCCAGCTGTGGAACCAAAGGCCAGCGCCAAAACCAAGGTTGCCAAGCCTGCTGCAGACCGAGTGCCTGACATTCGTTTCGATTACACTGCCAACGGTTCAATCCGCTACAATGTGAAGGCTTGCAACCTAGTTGCGCACTGCGCCTTCCACTCTGGAAATTGCAGGAGGACCAGAACCGTGAACCCTCCTCAATCCGCCCGTTCAAACCAGTCTCAGGGCAGGCCGATCGGATTGCTTCTCAGTTGGCTTGAGATGGCTGAAGACTTTAAAGACGCTTCTAGCCACAGTTCCATGTGCAGACCAACGCTCGAGCAACGGCAAGATGCTCGGGCCAGACTAGAGGCGATGGAGGGTGGTGTTGATTTTGCACTCACTTATGAAAGGCCAAAGAGGCCTGACGAGGACCCAGAGCCACCTTCCATGACCTAGACCGACCTACAGATTCAGATTTGACAGGCAGCTGCTTGTGGGAGTTAACCAGTTAACCAAGCCTTCAGATCGCAAAGACAGATTGACCTTTCTGGCCGGCCGCAAAGAAGAAAACAAGTCGTCTTGATGGAAAGGAAAGGGGAAGGTGAAAGAGGGATTCCAACCACAGGTCGTGGGGTGGGTATTCCCACCACATCAGATTCAAGACTTAAGATTTTTGCTACCCACAAAAAACCACAAGCAAGATCCTACAGACGGTAGATTGTAGATTCGTAGATTTTGAACCGGCAACGCCGCATGCATTTTTTAATAAGTGTTTCTTGAACATCGGGCTTACAAAGTTGTTTTATCGCTCCCATTGATGACGCACCCAGGCGCATCAGTTGGCCAGACCAGAAAGCACTCAAAGACCTGGATCTTTGGTTGTAGTCCAGTGCGGCTGTGATTAGGCCCTATCCGATCCTTTGCGTGGGCCCCAAGCCAAGCTCAAAGATGCCCAAACCGCTGTCAGGATCTACCTCATCTTCGTCCGCAAAGACATGGGAGGGGCCACGACCATGCAGAAGGTTATGGACACGATTAAGGAGCCTCTCGGTATGTTGTTCACATGACTTCCTGGGGCTTAGTTATACAGTTATGGATCATTGAGTACCCCTTTCAAGGGAAGAAATAACATTCTTTTGAGTTTCAAGCGAATAGAAAACAGCAACGCAACCGGGGTGATGGGGTCAATGTTGCAGCCAGCAGCAAGTCGACCACAGAAGTAGACTTCCGTATGTGCCAAAAATCAACCAGGAAAACTACATTACAAACAGTGCCTCATGTGGTATAGGTAGCGTACCACTCTACCAAGCCTTTCCTTTTTTGTGGCCTTGTCGCAACACAGCTCATCCCCGAAAACAACTTGCGCAGGCCATTTGTGATGCTCGCTCTACTTATCCGCCAGTGGATTGTCTCGACATCATGATGAGCAAAGCGGAGTACGAGCAGGCGACAACGGCAGCTTCAGCAACTGCAGTGCCTTGCATCCTTCCTATTCAGGCCACACATAGGTGTTTCCGGTTTGGCGGGTGGGTGTAGGGGCTGCACCCAGGTCAGCAGGAACAACACGGGATATGATTTGGCGATCGCGATCAGATAACCAGGGTTTGTGCTTGTTTCTGAACCTTGTTACAGTTATGCAATGGTCCAGGAGACATAAAACCACAAATGCCATAGACCGGCTTCAGACTCAATTTGAAAAGTCAATATACAAAAAATCAGATTCAGATATCTCACCCTTCTTGAGCAAGGTATGTTTCCAAGACTCCAGCCTTAAGTCCTTCAGCGTCATGACTTCAGAATTAAGCATGCGAGATACAAACCCATCACATTGTCGCCTGTCGCTTACCCGACTTGTATTTGTTGTGATCATCCTTTTAACCTAGGACCTAGGGCTAGGGATATGGCGCTTAGGTTTGCTCCTTCAAACTTAAAACGAGACAAGTCTT